TACTTTGATTACTTCTTCATTAACTACTTTAAAGAGGGTTTTAACATCCCTATGAGAATAAAACAGATTGGAGTCATCAGCAAACAAAATAAAGTTTAGTATGTTCGAGGTATGAGATAGATCATTTATATAAAGAGAAAACAGTAACGGTCCTAAGATTGAGCCTTGAGGAACTCCACATTTTATTATACTTTTTGTCGTTTTAACATTTTCATATTGAATGTATTGCTGTCTGTTTGATAAGTAATCTTTAAACCATAGTAAATTATTATTTTTTATTCCATAATGTTCAAGTTTTTTTAAAAGAATGACATGGTTGACTGTGTCAAAGGCTTTAGACAGATCAATAAATACTCCTAATGTAAAATGGTCATCATTAAAGGCATTGGTTACATGAGTTACTAACTCGGTCAAAGCGTGATCAGTTGAATGATTTTTTTTTAAAGCCAAATTGCTTGTTGTACAACATGTTATTTACTGTTAAGTAGCTGTTTAGCCTATTATACATTATACGCTCGAGTAGCTTAGAAAAGCATGGTAAAACTGATATTGGTCTATAATTTGAAGAATCTGTGTCATCGCCAGACTTAAAAATAGGCAAGACCCGTGCAATTTTTAATTTTTCTGGAACTGTTCCAGTTTGAAGAGAAAGATTAAAAATTGTGATATAAAGGAGTTTCTATAATATGAAAAACTGATTTAACAACATTTATGCTTATATTATCAAAACCTACACTTGTGTTGTTTTTAAGATTATCTAGAGCATATCGTAACTCATTAATATCTAGTTTAGATTCGTCCATGACCTTATCATATATTTTTAAATAAGAATCAAACGATGATGAGCCTGAAGGAATTTTTTTCAGCTAAGTTTGGACCAATATTAAGAAAGAAGCTGTTTAGATTTTCAGCTACTATTGACTTGTCATATATAATTTTACCATCTACTAAGAGTTTCTTTGGTTGAATACTTATTCTATTATTTTTTCTGCTAATAATTTCTTTAATTACGCTCCACGTACTTTTGGCATTTCCGTTAGTTTTTTTTAACAACTTTGAATAGTAAATTTTTTTTGATTGTTGTTTAGTTTTTTTCAAATATATTTTTATAAAGTTTGTAGTTTGTCTCATTTTTATACGTTTTTTTTTTTAAGAATTTTTCATACAACTTTTTTTTTTTCTTTGAAGATTTTAATAAGCCTTTAGACATCCATGGAGCTTGATATGACTTGGTATTTATAACAATTTTTTTCTCCGGAAAAGCTTTTTTCATATTGCTCACAAAAAAATTTAAGAAATAGTTTCATAGGCATTATTTACCTCTACCGATTGCATTATAAGGTCCCAATCAACGTTATATTTTAAAAGGTTTTGAAATTTTTGTAAGGAGTATTTATTGATCTGCCGCCTGTATATTATAAATTTAGAAGAACTATTATTAATTGTTATATTATTAGTTTATTAGAAAAGTAGGAAAATGATCTGATAAGTCTGTTTTGATTATACCTGTGGAAATATAGTTGTTCATAAAAATTGTTAGTGATTATATTATCAAGTAAAGTAGAAGATTTCTTAGTTATTCTGGTTGGTTTATTTATTGTTGGAATAACATTATGTTGAAGAAGTTTATCGATAAAATGCTTAATTTTGTTTGAAGCTTGTTTTAACAAGTTCAAATTGATATCGCCGACAACGTAAATATGCTTCCGTTCTTTATTGACTTTAGTTAAAAATGTGTTTAAGTGAGTCTTAAATTTTTTCAAGTTACCAGATGGCTTTCTATAAATAGCATTAACAATTATTTTTTTTGTGGTTTTATTATAAAGTTCAATGCACAACGACTCACAATCTGTTTCATTAACGCAAAGGTCATTACGAGGGAAAAAATCAATTGAATTGTGGACAAAAATACTAACGCCTCCGCCACTATAACTATCACGTGGTTGATGAATTGACGTGTAATTAATTAAATCAAACTGTGTATTTTGTTTATTGCATTTACACCACGTTTCTGTTAGACAAATAATGCTAAAATCATGTTTTATTTCGTCCAATAAAATTTTTAAATTTTCAAAGTTTTTATTTAGGCTTCGGATGTTAATATTTAAAATTGAAAATGCGTTTTTATTATTTTTAAGATATTGTGCAGTTTGGTAAACTGAGTAGTATTTGCTTTCAAATTTCAATTTGTCAAAACAGTCTGTTTCAATGTCATTATCATTAATATTTTCATTAGGAAATTGAAATATAGAGTTTTGCTCCATTTTTATACATGGTTTTATATAAAATTTTGAAACATAAATAAAAAATAAAATTACTTATTTAGCTTTTAGATTAAACTCTCTCACTATTAACTTATCGTACTCAATAATAGCATATTTTCCAGCGTTACGCTCAATCTTCATTTTTTCACTTAACTCGCGTCTTATTTTGTTAGTTTCAAATGAAAAATCTTCATTAATAAAAATACCTGTACCTTTCAGCATCTTTGCGTTTTCCAAAATTTTTTCTTTGTCTTTATAATTTAACAGTTTGAGTATGATTGTTCTGGGTTTATTCTTTATTTTCTCTGCGTTAAAGCGTCTTTCGATACGGTGCGCTCGTTCAATAATAATGTTACTTATTTTTAACTGATCATTAAATATTTGTTGAACTTTTTTTTCAGTTTGGTCCCATGTTTCTTTTTCATTTTCTCGTACACCGTCAATTCTAATATTGTTTCTTCTGTTCCTATCTTCCCCAGCGGGCATTTTGACGTCCTAAGGACGTCCGTAAGACGTCTTAAGTCTCGTCCGTAAGACATCCTTAGTTGGTCTTAAATGAAAGGCTTGAGGACGTCTACTCCAGACGTCCTAAAGACGTTTTTTCAAGACGTCCTAGAGACGTTTTTGCAGACGTTCTAGAGACGTCTCCTGGCTGCGTCTCATATGAAAGGATATAAGGACGTCTTTTTCAGACGTCCTAGAGACGTTTGAATTTTACCAAGACATTCTTTTAAAAGTTATATAAAAAATGCAATGATTTACAACACACACTTTAGATTTGCCTTAATCTAGGCAAAGGAAGTTATAAAAAGAAATGAATGTAAATAAAGTGTAATTTGATATATTTAAAATAAATTAATAACTTTACAAAAAATAAGAATAATTTTTCAAACAAAGTTACATTTTTCAAATAAAAAACTTATAGGTACAGTATAATATAATCGATAGTGCATTATAAATAGAAGAAAATTGCTTAAAAATGGAAAATAAAAATAAAAAATACAACAGTTTAGTTAAGCAGACATTGATCGAAATCCATATTAGTCGATGTTTTCTTTATTCG